GGGGGTGACCCATTCTCCAGTCATCACCGTGTTCTGAACAGCGTCTTCCTTTCTTACTGAGCTACATTTTTGTCATCTTTCTAGGGAACGTTTGTTTGCCAGACTCCCTAGAAAACACCCCAGGGCTGGCTTCCCCCTCCCTCCTGCTTCAGCTTTTGAGTCTCCTTCTGACATTTCCAGCAGGACGGCTTCTGTGGTCAGCTGACGGGACCTCCAACCTTTCTCGCCTTTCTCTGAGGTCAGGGGCCTCACTTCTGCCCGTGACAAAGCACTTTCAATCAACTCTTGGATTTGTTCATGGTTGATTAGGCTGTCTGTGTTTATCCAAGACCCTTCTCCTCTTTCTGTGTCTGGCTGCTGACCTTTCTGTTGCTAGATTGTCGGAGGAGAAGGCACACATGGGGTAGTCCATATGACTACTTATTAGTTAGCAGCCCTAGTGAAGAGAGAAAATGATGAGGTTATTCAAGTACTAGTGCATCTTCAAAGTGTGTGGTTTCTCACCTGGATAGTTTTTGGAGTAGACAGTTTGAAGAGAAAACAGCCCGTGAGTTTTAATCACTAGCATTGTTCTTGAACCTTAGGGATGTTGGTCATCTTGCCATGAAGGACCACAAGGGTCTACACAGTGTGTGGTTCCTCCTTAGAGTTGGTGTGGTGGTGTACACCTGTGATCCTATTTCTCTGGGAGGCTGGGGCAGGAGGATTACAAGTTTGAGGCCAACCTAGGCAACCAAGCGAGGTTATAAGCAACCTAGTGAGACCTGTCTCAAAAAAAAAACTAAAAAGGTCTGGAAGTGTCACTCAGTGGCAGAGCACTCCTGGGCCCAAGCCCTAGTACTGGAAAAACAAAAGTAGATATGGTTTTAGTGCCTGGAGATGGGAAGGAGAGAGGACGAAGCACAGATAGTTGAGTGGTCACAAGATAGGCCCTCTTTTGGAGACTCTTGCTAGCAAGTAGCTGAGCCTCTGCTGCAGCTTGCAGTGGGCAAGCTCAGCTCTTCCGGGGCCCAGCTCCAGCCCCGCTTCATGTGCAGCGGGCTCCTCCTGTCTCTGGCACCAGGGCGCATGCGTGCTGTCCTCTCCAGGTTGTTTTTGTGGGTAGGATCTGCTTGCCTTGGCTCAGCGCAGGTGCTGGGGCTGTGGGGAGTGGCCTTCTCGACCTTTGCACGCCTGGAGGCCTGTGGTGCTCATTTCAGGGAAGACTATTGGATAAGTGGAGGGGCAGCTGGAGCACCTCCCAGTACTTGACCTCCACCTACTCCTTCCGGGTCACTGTACCCTCCCCACCCACCACTCCTCATAATACTCCATTCCCAGCATGTACAACAGGCTTGGCCTTATTTTTTATTTTTTAGTTTCTTTAGGTGTCCCTAGCATTTTTTGGTGTGTGCTGGGGATGGGACCCAGGGTCTTGTGCGTGCCTGGTGAGTGCTGCGCCCTGAGCCACCTGCCCTACCCTCCATTGCACCTTTCTGCCTCTGGCTGGTTGCTGCCGCCTGTCTCGGTGGTGAACTCTGAGGGGGCGAAGGTCCCGTCCCGTTTGCTCTCCTTGCTGTGGCGGGATGATGACTCAGAGGGGCTAGACATTTAGAAGATGATGCACGTAGTCGGAGAAGAGAGCCACCAGAGCTCATCCAATCAACTCAACAGTCCAGGATTCTCAGTCACTGTGGCCATTAGGCATCTAGGGTCTGATTATCCTACAGTGGGGCTGTCATGTGCCTCTTAGGATGTTCATGGCGTCCCTGTCTTTACCCTTAGATGCCAGTAGCATCTCCATTTGTGACAACTGAAACTGGTTCCAGAAGGTCCCAAGTGTCCCTGGAGTTGGGTGGGGATGCCACTGCTTTCAGGGGCAAGGGAGAAGGCCACAGCCATGAAGGGATGGAAATAGTCACCAGGACCAGGGCCACCTTCTTCTCTTGGAAACATGGCGCCCTGCCCTAGCTGGTCCGGGAAAGGAGAGTCTCTCGAATGCATTTGAATACAAGTCTCACTGCTTGGCCCGTTTTCCACTTAGGGACCTTTGAGGACTGCCACTGGGCTGGCCCTTTTCCCTGTGGCTCGGCCTCATTTAGCTCTAGGAGTCCCACTGGCTTCTGAGAACGCTGAGGGGAACAGGATGAACTGCAGGCAGTGGCACCAGCAGGCACCACGCCCAGCTGCATGCTGGGGACACTGGGCTCCGCTCCTCCACTCTCTGATCCAGGAACTAGGCTTTTCTCTTTCCTGGGAATTAACAAGCCTTTGGAGCGATCACCCAACTACACTGAGTGTTCAGGACTCAGGCTACAGAGTAGGCGCTTTCCGTCCTGCCTGCTCCCAGAGCTCAGTGGGCTTTGGAGTGGGCCCAGCAGCATGGAATGTGGTACAGAGTGTATATGGGGCCCTGGGCCTCTGGGCTCCAGGCGTGGCCTGAGTCTGACCTTCCGTGGCTGTCTCAACTGCCAAGGGGATGACTCTGCGGCCTGGGGTCGGGCTGTGAGCCTGCCTGGCTCTACAAGTGAGAGCTAGAGATGGGCACAGCCTTCAGCAATCATTTACAGCTTCTGCTTCTGTGAAATGCTGGTGTCCAGAGGCAAAGTGCTAGCCGCCCCTCCCTGGTGGATACCTTCCATTCCCAGGATGATTGGGGTGGGTGGGTGGGGTGACTGCCACAGCCATTGGGAGTGATGGAATCAGGATGGAGAGTGGGGAGACCTCATGAAGCAGCATCCAAGCCATGGAGAAGCCTGATGAAATCGCCCTGCCTCTGAGGAAGCTCATCTCCCTAGTGATGGGAACTGCCACTTCAGTCTCCAGCCAGCGTCTCTCTAGCTGGAGGGACTGGCTTTCTCCACTGGCTCTGGATCTGGGCATCTGTCCATCCTCCCTCCCTTGCAGACCCCCTTCTCTGTCGTCACATGCTTTATTCAAAGTTCTGGCCACGGGCTTTGCTAACCTTGCACCTCGCATGCGTGACTTGTGCTTGCCTCAGTGCCCACTTAGCACAGCTTCTAGAACCTGGTGACCTGCAGCTCCACCAGAGCACAGCTTGTTGCTGCTCCTAAATAACCACAAGTCAGATGGTCCCCAGGTTGGCACCTGGACTGACCTTGGGGACCACCCTTCACTGTGGGTCTTTCTGCAAGGTGGACAGCAGATGCCTTTGGAATGGTTGTAAGTCTCCTGAGAGAGAAGCAGGAAAAGGAAGGAAAGCTGTGGCCTCTGGGGGCTCCTCCCCCACTTCCCACATGCCAGGTCCCTGGGCTGCCCGTCCAGCCCTGCCCATCTGGTCCCGGCTGAGCACATGTCCACTGAGCTGGTGGCAGATGTTCAGGATGAGGAAGTGCCTCGGCTCCACCTGCTTTTGTGTCATGAGCCAAGTAAGGTGACAGCTACCCATGGTGAGAGTCCCTTTCTGCCACTTGAGTCCTCTCTTTCTTTCCGGTTGCTGGGGAGTCCTTTGTCAGAGTCGATCCGTCACTTTTGAAAGTGTTATTTCTTGGGAAATAAAAGAACAGTAGGGCCGCGGTTGTGTGCTAGTCAGTTCTGTTACTGCAGGCACCGCCACTGTCACAGAAAGACACGAATCCCACCAGCACGTTAGGCAGCCTGTTGCTACCACGGACATGGTCTTTGTCCCCAAACACCACAGCACCTGCACTTCAAAAGCAAGTTCTTCAGAAGGCACCGTGTTGGGGAAACAGGGTGAGCTGTGCTTGGCCAACACTGACTTTCTTTATAGAGGAAAGAGAGGAAGGAAAAAGCCCGCTGTGTGGTCTAGCAGGGCCCGGCCATTGCTGCTCCTGGCCTGCTCTGCCTCCAGATTCTCCCTGCATTCCACTCGCGCGGCCGCCTTTGTGGGCCTGTGTTGTGTTCTTCCCATTCACATGGTTAAAGATGTTCCTGTAGCGGCCTCTTGCTGGGGACGTCCTTCAGGACATGAGGTGGAGATGGCAGGCACTTGGCAGTGGTGCTCTGAACCTCGAGGACCAGCTGGAGCAGCTTTCTGGACCACTAATCCCACTCAGCCTTCTGGGAGTGCTTGTGTATTAAATAAGGATGTGACCACGTGGGTGAACATTCAGTTTGCATGGATCTTAAAGCCTGAGGCCTCACCAACATTTTTTTCCTGAGGCAGGTGCCAGAGAGAGTTCCTTAGACCCCTCAAGTGGCGGGTGTCATGGGCCAAATCCTGTCCCCACAAAACGTATTGTGTTTTAGTCAGCTTTTTTGCTGCTGTGACTAAAATACCCAGTCAGGACAATTGTAGAGGAGGAAGAGTTTATTTGAGGGCTCACTGTTTCAGAGATCTTAGTTCACAGAAGGCCGGCTACAGTCCTCAGGCTGGAGGTGAGGCTAAATGTCATGGCGGGAGAGGGTGGCAGAGGGAAGCGGCTCACATGATGGTCAGGAAGCAGAGAGACTCCACTTGCTAGATACAAATACATACCCTGGGGCTGTGGTTGTGGCTCAGCAGTAGAGCACTCCCCTAGTGTGTGAGGCCCTGGGTTTGATCCTCAGCACCACATAAAATTAAATAAGTAAATAAAATAAAGATATCGTGTCCAACTACAACTAAAAAATAAATATTAAAAAAATTACATACCCCATGGCCACACTCCCAATGAACCACTTCCTCCAGCCACACCCCACCTGCCTCCAGTCACCACTCAGTTAATCCCATCTGGGAGTAATTCTCTGATTAGGTTAAGGCTATAAGCTGATCATTTCTCCACCAAACCTTCTGGCTTTGTCTCACGTGAGCTTTTGGGGGACACCTCACATCCAAACCATAACTGAAACACCAAGCTCCAGTTCCTCAGAGTGTGAACCTATGTGGACATGGGGTCATTGCAGAAGTAATTAGCTAGGTTTAGGTAAGGTCCTTGTCGGGGAGGGTGGACCCCCCATCCAGGGGGGCTGGTATCTTCAAACAGAGGTGAAGCTGGGACCGACGTGCACAGGGAGAACAGAGGCCAGGTGGAGATGGGTGGTGGGGGCGCCATAGCTGCTCACACGGCCACGGGTTGGGGAGGCGCCTGTAGCTCCTCCCCAGGGCCTGCAGGAGGCCTCCTGCCATCACCTTGGTTTTGGGCCTCTGGTCTCCAGGACTCTTGCACATTTCTGTTGTTCCAAGCCACCAGTTTGTGATGATTTGCTACGGCAGCCCTGGCAAATGATCGCAAGTGGACATTCTCTTCTCCTGCTGGGTCTGCATCACTGACAGTTTGAGAAGCAGGGGACTCTGTCACAGAAAGAGCTTAATGTTGGAGTCTGAGAGACCTGGATCCTGGCCAGGCCCCTACAAGTCACGAGTCCTGGGGCTGGATCCAGAGGTCTCACCATGAGGACAGAGGAGAGAATGGAGGCTAGCCGCCTGGTGGTTTCCTCTGAGCTTTTCTTCTAAGGGGTGGGAAGAGGCCACGCTTGATCTGGCCTGGCTGGGCATCAGGTCCAGCCATGGCCTCCACGCCTGCCCTGGCTGCTGTATGTCGCACTCCCCACAATCGGGCATCACATTTAGCACTGACCCCACGGCAGGTGGAGAGGAGATGAAGCAGGCGAGTGCTGTGCTCTCTGCTCTTTATGTCCTGTGTGAGGCCCTTGTCCTCCCCAGAGGAAGGGCCCCCTTTGTTCTCATTTTCTCATGTTCTTGACAAGGACTTATTAAGCATGAGGTAACAATTGCCTCACAAATGTGTTTGAATAAAAGTGTTTTGCAATGTTTCTCACAGGCAAAGGGGCTTGGATCTTTCAAGAAGGAACCAGTTAGCATCAGAAGGCTGTAGGAAGAGCAGAGGGCTGTCCTGCAGGAACCATAGGGCAAAGGAGTTGGTGGTGACCCATCCCAGAGGCACAGGGCCCTGAGTGACGCATGTCTGGAAGAGAGCCCTGGGAGGACATTGGTTCATAGATCCAGGAGTGGCCCCTTTGTTGATTCAGCTGGAGTCCAACGGGCAGGGAGCTCTCCTACCCCACAGCTCTGCCTCTAAAACACACCTCAGCCACCTCTCCACACACAAAAGGCTGCCACCATCTGCAAGGGCTTCTTGTTTCCCTGCTTAAACTCAGAAGCAGAGCACAGAGCTCAGAACCATCCTTAGTAACTTATGAAAAGCTTGAGGCCAGTTTAAAGGGCATTTATGACCTCCTTTCTATTTAATGACCAGAGCTGACTCAGAAAAGAAATGCCATGGCTCTGAGTGAGGAACGGTCATTACTGGTGGGAGAAAGTAAAATTTGAGATTTATTGAATGACAGCGAAAAGTCAGAATGTAAGAACGTTAAGGACAGACAGAGTACGGAGGCCCTCCTGGATTTTAGGCTCTGTCGTGTATGGTCACGTGACCTCGGGTTGGTCCTGACCTCAGTTTCCTTCTGAACACCTGTGGAGTAACAGTGCCACCACAGCCACACAGGAAACAGATGAGGTGTACCCTGGTCTTAAGTCACTAAGTTGTCTTCCATACAGAAGGTGGGTACTAACATGCAAATTATGCTTAGCAACAAAATCACATAAGCATTTGTAATTTTTATAACTTTGTTCTCTATTTTGATATTTTAAATACATTTTAGTAGAATGTATATTTCATGGGATAAAAACCCAACAATAAAAGACTGGGTCTTGTTCTCCCCCAGGTCTGAACCTTCTCACCTAAAGGGAAAGCCTGGCCCGGAAGTTTCCTGTCAGCCTTCAGGCTTGTTTCACCTGCAGGATGTTAAGCTAGGTTTGCTTTGTTTATTCTTTAATTCAATTGCCAACATTTAAAACCACAGATGGTGCCAGACTTATGATGATGATTCAACTTAGGATTTTTCTACTTTACAATGGCCTGAAATGCATTCAGTAGGAATCATACTGTGAATTCTGAATTTTGGTCTTTTGCCCCCAACTGGGGAAGGTGCTCTCCAAATGTGCCCACAGCTCCAGGGGCCACAGCTTTACCAGCTACACAACCACCCGGATGTTCTTAGGCTGTGGGTACTAAATACAGTTTTGACCTATGCTATTCTTACTTTAGGGTGAGTTTTTCAGGATGAATCCTCACTGTGGGTTGAGGATCAACTGTGCAATGGTTCCCTCTAACTCTCCTGTATTTGGGCTTCTCTTGGGGAAAAGAAGATAGAGTTGCTGATGCCACTGGCGGTAGGTGGACTGGTTGATGTTATTGCAGCTGGAGCATGCGCCACTCCAGGCCAGCCCAGTTAGGGACCCCGGGGGCCACTTGTTCATTGGGAGGCCTAGAGTTTCAATAGCAACATTTGTGAAAAATCAAAGACACAGCAATGCCTGAGACCAAAACTGGGGTGCCATCTTTTGTCCCACAGCTTTGCTTTACCCTCAGCTGAGTCCCCTGTCCAGGTGGGGGAGTTTCTTTCTTGTGGAATGAGAATTGGGTCCTTGGGGGAATTAAATGAGATGACCTTATGTAAATACAAGAGGGCGTGGTGACGCAGGCCTGCAATCCCAGCGGCTCTGGAGGCTGAGGAAGGAAGATTACAAGTTCAAAGTCAGTTTCAGCAATTTAGCAAAGCCCAAAGCAACTTACGGAGACCCTTTCTCAAAATAAAATATATAAAGGCTGGGGATGTGGCTCAGTGATTGAGTGCCCCTGGTTCAATCCCTGGTACTCAAAAGAAAAAAAAAAAAAAAAGAGCCAACACTCAGGAAATGGCAGCTCTGGGCAGGAATGTCCCAGCCCTCTGGAAGCATGGCAAAGGGCAGCCCCTACAGCTCACAACCCTTGGCAGCAGAGCACCTTGGGGGGTCAATCTGAGGAAGGAAGTACTGCTGGAGACTATGGTCTCTGAGGATGAGGCCAGGGCCAGGCCTGGAACCTCATGGAGCTGCAGACCCTCAGCACTAGACAGCACACTAGACAGCTTTCATCTTTGGTGTCTCATTCCTGGGTCACTGTGAGTGCCAGAAATTCCAGGGAAATGGGACAGGTAAAAAGGAACCTCTTTGTTTTAACAAGGCCACACACGGCAGAGTCACTGTGTGCCGAGTCTGCCCTGGAGATGTCAGAATCCCAGCTGGCGCATCTGCCCAGGTGCAGACGCACAACCATCCGTGGCAGGGAATCATGGCTGGGGGCTGGAGACTTGCAGGGAGGCCTGGGCATCTTTGGGGTGGGAGGGAGGCAGCTGCTAAGCTCCGCTGTGACCCTAAGTGGCAGTGTCTCCAAGAACTTGGTGCTGATTCCTAAAAACCATGCCCAGGAGTGATCTCACTGCTTTCTTCTCCCTGCCAAAAAGTCCACCCAAGCCTGTTTTATAGGAAGTCGTCTTTCTTCTGAGCAGAAGGGGACATCCCTGGGGTGAGCACATTATGAGTAAGTGATTACTAGCAGCTGTAAAGGATCTTGTAAAGCATTTACGTACCCCACAAAGGGACCTGGCTTTCACAGAGCTGCCTTTCAGTTCTTTTGATGCAGGTGAAATGCTGCTAAAGTCACTCAGTGATGCTGGGGGCAAAACTCGCTTAGGAAATGGACAGCCTACGACTTGGGATCCCCCTCTGTTTCCTCCTCCACTTGTGACCCCTCATAAATGACCCTCTGAGTCACTCACCAAGTGGACACACGTTAAAGAAATATTCCATGTCTACCTGCTGTTATAAATCAGGGTGGTCCTCAGCAAGAAAGCCCAGTTCCCTGGTGTGCTTTGCACTGGAGAGGGGCAAATGATAGCGTGAGCACGTTGGGCTGTTGACATTTTTGAGGAAGCACAAGGTCAGCTAGGTTCACGTTGATCAAAGCGGGAGTTCTGAGATGCGGTGGGAAAAGGGGTTCCAGGAAGCCCCGATTCAGGGAAGCTGGGGCTGGGGAGCTTCTGAGAGGCCACAGGCAGTCAGATCTGAGGAGAGATTGCCTGCCTGCCCTCTCCTAAGGAAAACCATCTGCTATGTCGGAAGCCTGAATTTCCTCAAATGGCTCCAGTCCATGAGGAGTCCCTGGACAGATGACCTTGACTTCTAATGAACTCAACAGTTCTCCATCTGCTTCTAGGAATCTTGCTGGCTCGGCTCTCTCAGCTGGTACAGGCATAAAGGGTACCCACTGCTCTTTAGGCCTGTGTCCCCCACGAGACTCCAAGACCATTCCCCCCATCGATGCAATCACATCTGGGCAGAGCCACTTGGACAAGAGTTGCTCTTCCACCCCCAAATCTGCACCCCTTAGCAAATGCACAGGTGAAAGCACTCCTGCTGTTGGATGTGGGCTCACTCTTTGTCAGAATTGTGCAGGGACTTCATTGGCTTCTGTGTGGGCTGGTGGCAGCAGGGTCTCTGGCTGGACCTGAGCATTTCTGCAGGCCTCTCCAGCTGTGCAGTCTGCGGCTCTGAGATGCTTCCCAACATACACACTAACAGTGAGTTTGTCTAGAAACAAACCGAGGCTCACACAGAATTACTAGTGGCTGAAACACATACAGGATCTTGGCTCTAGCTTCAGGAGGGTGTTTTGTATTTTACTGTTCAGGTAAGAACTCTCTTCCTCATTAAATGCTGAATAAAACTGGCCAGAGTCTGTATGAACAGTTACTATATACAACCAACACAGTCTGGAAAGGAAATACGTGGCCTGTTATTTCAAAAAAGTAAATGCAACCAAAAGAAGAAAGCAAGCTGGTCTCGCCCTGCAGGAATGCACTAAGCAGCCCAGGACGGCCCCCTCCTTCTCCTGCCCAGTGCCCTGTGTTTCTTCATGTTCTTCCTCCTGGATCTTCAGAGCCGTGCCTGCCCAAGGTTTCCTCCCCATGAAGTCCCCGCGGTCAAGTTCACTCCCTTCTGAGAACTTCTGGCTGCTGCCAGCCTCCCTTTGTGGGTCTGCCTTCCTGCCTGACAGCACTTGCCATCCATCGGTTTGTTACAGTACCCGGATGGCCCACCCTGTGTCCCCAGCACTGGACACAAGCTTCTCGGGGCAGACATACCATCTGTCTGCCTGGCTCCCAATGGGCCCTTGCAGACTGGCATTGAGTACATTTTATAAAGCTGAAGTGAGTGGAAGAAGGACCCAGAGTCCTGCTCCAGGCCTGCGCTCCAATTACAGAAGCCTGCAGGGTGCTGAGGCAGGGGAATGGCCGGGGGAAGTGCTGGAATTTCTCAGCCCTGGTGCTGCTGACACCCCCCTGGGTCACGCTTGCTCAGGGGGCCGTCCTGTGCCATGTAGCATGCGCGGCAGCACGCCTGGCCCCCCTAGTAGATGCTGGGAGTCCCCCAAGAAGTGGAGGTGTCTG